CGCTGCGGCTCCCGCAGGGCCCCGCGCCCCGGCCGGCTGCGTGAGTGGGCAGCGCCGGGCCGTGACTCCCCGTCTCTCTCCCAGGGCCTGATCCGGAGCTGGGAATCGTCCCCAGGCCCCCGGCCTGAGCCCGCGGTGGGGCCCGGAGCGGCGAGAGGGATCCTGGGCCTGTCCAGTGCCAAAGATGTTCCCGCAGAACCGGCCCCCGGTGAGCCCGCAGCTCGGCCTCGTCCCCTCCGGGCCACGGGCGAGCACGCAGTACTGCGGCAGCCGTGCTGGCCTGGCCCTTGGCACGGGCCTGCGCCCCCAAACCCGACTGTGAGCCTGCCTCGCCCCGTGGGGGTGGGACGTGTCGGCCTCAGCCTGGAAAGTTGTGGGGATGGCATGTAATGCACTTGGGAGCAGTGGTGTGGTGCTTCCCAACCTGATGCTGAGCTCCAGAGCTGCGGGGATTTGGGTTTTCCGACACGCTGGAAGCCGGATCGCAGTCGGGGCGTGACTGTGGGACCGGTGATGAGTGGGCGAGGACAGAGCCCCGGGGCTGGGCGGGAGGGCGGGGGGGGGGGGGTTGCACGCTCTGCCAGCCAATGCTTGCACGCTCTGTGCCACCCATGGTTGTTAATCCTCCTCTTCTGGCTCAGTGGCTGAACCGATGCTGGAAAGGTGGAGAACGATTGCCCTTGGTGCTTGGCTGTAACCAGTTTCCTCTGCAATAACTCTTTCTGCCACCTCTTCCATGTGCTGCTCTCCCAGATGTGCCCATAGCCTCTTCCCCGGGTGCAGGATAACCCCTGGGGGACTCGCGAGCCTCACTGAGCCAGCAGTGGTGACCCCGGGGGTCCCCTCCTCTGCCTAGGCCCATCTCCAGGCACCCTCCGCTGCCTCGGGAGCTGCTGTCGCTGCCAGTGCCATCCCCAGCACCCCTCAGTCCCTCAAGCTGACTTACCCAGAGACCTTGGACCGCATCAAGGAGGAATTCCAGTTCCTGCAGAACCAATACCACAGGTGAGAAGCTGCCAGGGCTCGCGTGCCAGCAAGGCACTGGGCACTTAACTGGTGCTGGCGAGAGGCGGGCTCCCCCTCGGTGCTGGGCATCAGTGTGGGCTGGCAGGAAGTGCCGTCCCATGCTGCTGTGGGCACTGGTCCATCTGGAAGACGGCTGTGCCAAGCACCACCTTGGTAGCTTGAAATGACACTGTTTGAGGGGTAAACTCGGCCTCTTCCTGCCAAAAGCCCCAGGATGAGGATGCTGGCTTCCAGGGCCCGGCTTCTGGGCTGAGCTGGAGCCGTCACTTAGCAGACCTGGAGTCCCTCTGATCCGCCCTGCTGCTGGCCAGGATCACCTCCCCTTCCCCGCACAGTGCTGGGCAGAGCAAGGTTTGAAATGCAGCTCGGCTTTGCAGCTCGCTCCATTTGGGAAGCAGATGCTGGGGAGGGGGTTAAAACTCCATGCAGATTGCTCCCTGATGCCTGGATCCCTTTGCTGTCCATCTCCTCTTTGTCAGCCCCTTCCCACCCTCTTTCAGGTGGTTTTCTTGGCTTCTGCTGGGAGACGGGATTGAATCTGAGAGCAGGAGGCTGAAGCACGCAGTGCGCTGGGAGGGCTTGTGCTCTGTCCAGCCTGGGAGATCTTGCCTGTGGGGGACCAGGGGGTGTCTCCCTCTCCCTCCCTCCCTCTCTCTTTCTTCTCTTTATTATTACAGCTTGAAGTTAGAATGTGAAAAGCTGGCAACAGAAAAAACAGAAATCCAGCGTCATTATGTCATGGTTAGTGAGCTCCACCTGAAAGGACGAGTGCGGTGGGGGGTGTCTCCTCTGAACCATCAAAGGACACGCAGCCCTGGGATGGTTTGGCTTCCCCTCGCGTTTGGGTTGTGCGGCCAGGCCCTGAGACCTAGTTCCTGTGGTAGTTATTGTCTGTTTTTTCCCCCCAAAACGAGCTGTGGTGTTTGAGCAGGGCTTGCTGCCAGAGTGCATGGTGGCAGGGTGGTGGCGAAGCTGCTCCCGTGTGGGTTGTCTTCTTTCCCGCGGGCAGTGAGCGGGAGCCCCAGGAAGACCGTGTCCGTTTTGTGGGCTGTGGCTGTGTGCCAGAGAGACCTCTGCTCCCAGGAGAGTTGCTGGGGACCATGTTCTCCTGGCCTGGCCACAGCATGGGTGTTTGTGGCCAGGCTGACCCTGCACGCCAGCACTGGAGAGGACTTTTTGGTTGTGAGTCCCCCTGGGCTCCCCAGCCGTGCTGATGCTGCCTTCTCTCCCTCGCAGTACTACGAGATGTCCTACGGCCTGAACATCGAGATGCACAAACAGGTGAGTCTGTGTGGGATGGGAGCGTTGTCCCTGCTCCCTGTCCCTGCCTTGCCATCTGGGCCCATCGGGGTCATCCCTTCCCACGGAAAGCGTGGGAAGTCGCTCCCTGCCGTAGCCCAGGGAAGGCTGTGCTTGTGGGGGCTGTGCTCCCTTCTGTGTGCTTTGGGAGCTCTGCACCACTCTGCGTCATGGCCTTGGCCTGTCTCCTCAGCTCTCTGCACACACGTGTGCACTCCAGCGTGAGCTGCCATTTGCTCGCTGGGTTCAGGGTGCGCGTTCCTGGCTGTGTCGCGATGCACTTGTTGCGGTGGGAAGAGAGCAGCGGTGGAGGACTTGTGCTTGCGTGGCTGCTCGCACCAGTTGTGAGTGGCCACCTGGGGACCGTCGTGGAGGAGACCGGCTCCCGCGGGGCAAGGGGTGCTGCAGCGTCACGGCCGGGTGATGGGCAGGGTGACGAGCTTTGCCTCGCTGTCTTGGCAGCTGTCCAGTGCCAGCTGCCCCTTGGGGGCAGCTCGCCTGGGGGCCGGGGCTGAGGAGCATCCTGAGGTGGGAAGCAGGGGGCTGGGGCGTGGGTGCAGGGTGGGCTCCCCAAAGGCTCGGGGCTGCACATCCCCCCTCGTTGCCTCCCCATCCTCCCTCCCTCCCTCCCTTCCTCCCGCTGTGCCGCGCTCCGGGTCACCAGCTGCTCTGAGACAGAAGGTTTCTTCTCATCTATTTTTAAAGAGGCTGCGGAGGAGCCTGGCGAGGCGTGCTGCAGCCACGGCCTCCTTCCTTCCCGCCCTGCACCCCGCCGCCACCAACTGTTGCGCGGGAGCCGGCTCAGGCAGCCGGCGTGGGGGTGCCGGCCCCCGGCACAGGGCAGGCTGACGGCCGATCTCACCGGCTTTCCACCCCCCGGGTGGGTGTTTCTGCGGCTCTCCTCGTTTCCCATGTGCACCCTGCCCCATGCCGCCATCCCCGCTGCGCAAAGCCGGCCGAGGAGGCGTGAAGCCGCCCTTGCGAGGGGCGATGCCGAGGGTCTGCCCGGCCCAGCACCCCCTCCGGGTGTGTGCTCCTCTCATCTGGTTGCCGGTTCTCCCCTGGCCCTTGCAGGCTCGTGTTTTCTGCCAGTCCCAGGTGCCGCTGGCTGCCCGCCAGCGAGCTGTCTGCACTTTTAACAAGGGCCCGTAAGTCTGCTCTGACAGCCAGCGGCCATTGTGTGAAAAATGGGAACCGCCTGCGCGGGAGCTGTGGGTTATCACCGCCGTGGGGAGATCGGGTCGCCGTCTCTCCTCCCCTTCCCCCAAATCTGGTGCTGCTTGTGGGCATGGGCAGGGGTCCTGAGCACTCTCGGCTGCCCTGGGACCACCGAGGAAGCACTTGCCCCATCGCCGCTGGTGAAGGCAGGGTAGTGCCATGGTGCGGTGCTGCCTCCGTCCCCAGCATCCCCCAGAGGCTCCCCAGGCACCCGGCTCCCATGGTGCTGGCATCAGCAGTGCTTGCACCGGCAAGGGCCGAGGTGCAGGGCGGTTTTACCCTGCCTGGGTTTGTTTGGAGGGAAATGGGGCTGGGGGCTGGGGGGCCGGCTGTGATGGTGCAGCTCTCCAGGCAGCCACAGGCTTGGCAGGGGAGGCTCAAGACAGGAATGAGCAGGAGATGTTAATTTTTTATTGTTGTTTTGTTTTTGGCATGGAAGGGGCCTGTAGCTTTTTATAAAACCGCCTCCCCGAATCTGCCTGGCCTTGGACTTGCTCACCGCGAGCCAGAGGGGAGGTGACGGTGCTGGTGGCTGGGGGGGCTGCAAACAGCATGATCATTTTTCATGCTGAGAGCGTTAAAGTGCCAGTAAATTGCACATTAACGAGTGCGAGTGAATTGGAGGCAGCTCTCCCCAAGGAGCTGCTGCCCATCAGTGCATTAGGGAAGAGAATCCATCACTGCCGGCCCCGGGAGACAGCTAAATCCTTCCCAGAACTGCCTGCTGCCAAATCTCCTTGCTCCCCCCGCCTTTCTTTCTTTTCTTTCTCTTTTTTCCTCCCTCGGAAGGGGAAGCGAGGGCGGGTGCTGGATTGTTTCTGCTCTCTGTGGGTCTGGCAAAAACAGGACGGTGGCCGCTCTGAAGGGCAGCATGGAGTGTCACTGGGTCTGTGTCCCCCCACCAGCCTGGCAGTGCTGTGGCCCCTCGTCCTGGCACCATGGCGCCTGCACCAGCTGGGCACAGGAGACTTGCCCAAGGTCCCGGTGGGGAGATCTGGGGTCAGCTCCACCCCGGCTGTTGCGGCCCTTCAGCCTCTGGTCTCCTCCTGGGGCTGACAAGAAGGTCTGTGTTCAACCCCCTCCTTTCAGCCCCGTGCTGGTTCCGTAACGTTTTCATCCTCCCCACTGGTGTGGGCAGGGAGCTCCTGGAAGCTTGGGACAGCACCTTACCTGAAGTCCCCGTGCCTGGGGCATCCCCCGCCTAAAGGGAGAGCTGCTGATCTCTGCCCCCTCTTCGGTGCTGGGGTGGAGTCCCCGGCTCTGTGCGATGGAGAGCAGCATGGGCATCTCTGCTGTTGCCTTGAGCAGTGTCTGCTCTCCTGGCTGTCACCCACTGGTACTCGGGGCAGGGGCCTGACCCCCTAGACCCTGGGGGTTCTCCCCAGGGATGTGTCTGTGGGGCCAGGGATGACCCAATGTCTGTGCTCGCCCCCAGCCCGGGACATGCAGCATGGGGCTGGCGAGGGCCCTGCCCTGGCTGTAGGGTGCAGTGGGAGCGCGGCACAGCAGGCACAGCACACCACCGCTCTGCCTCCCTGTGCCGCTCCCCCGCTCTGCGCTCCTGATTGCCTGTGGCACTCAAGTGTTGCAGAAAAACAGCAGCTGTAAGAGAGCACCTCTCCAGGGCTTCCTGCAGGCCGGGAGAGCGGCAATTAGCAGTCGTGGTGCCGGCAGGAGGCTTGCGCGGAGGGCGGAGGGGAGCCTGCTGAGGCCGGGGCCCTGACCTGCAGGGCTGGGGGCTTGCTTGGCGATGGCCCTTGGTGGCATGGGCCGTGGGGCTCCATGTCCCTGGCAGGGAGGAGGCGGGAGCCATCCTGGGGCTCTCAGGGTGGGGATGGAGGATGCTGGGCTCATGTTTTTGGAGGGCTGGCATTGGGAAGGAGAGCTTTCCTGCTCCCCCCTGGGGTGTTTCTGGTCCTTGGTGCTAAGCAGCAGCTCTTGGGGCCAAGCACTGGCACCCTGTGGCTGCTTGGGGAGCGCCCTTGGCGGGAGGGGTCTCCCACGGTGCCAGGGCCGCTCAGCGTGGGGGCAGCTCTGCCCCTTGCCCTGACAGGCACTGCCTCTCTTCTGCTGCCAGACGGAGATTGCGAAGCGGCTCAATGTGATCTGCGCCCAGCTCATCCCATTCCTGTCTCAGGAGGTGGGTGAGCCCTCGGACCCTCACCTCTGATGGGGTGTGCAGAGCTCCTTTGGGACACAGGGAGTGTCCCTGCTGGGGGACTCAGGCCCTGTGCTTTGGGCTGGGCTGGGGGGGCTGGCTTCACCCCATCCCCTGACGAAATGAGGCTGCCGCAGCCCTGCTCACAGCAGGAGTAGGCGGGGGCATCGCCCGGTGCTGACGTGCTCTTCTCTCCCTGCAGCACCAGCAGCAGGTGGTCCAGGCCGTGGAGCGTGCGAAGCAGGTGACTATGACCGACCTGAACGCGGCGATCGGGGTACGTCAACCCTCTGCCCACCCCTTCCCGCCACCCCCTGGCTGGGCGTGCTGGGCTGCCGCAGGCAATGGTGCCTCCCGTGCTCCCACCGTCCCCTGGGCTGGAGACCTGTCCTGTCCCAAGCACGGGGGGGTCGGGTGCAGCCCCCTGCCCCTAGTGCCTTCACCCTCCTGTGGCTGAGTCAGGGGGAGGAGGAGGGCAAGCCGAGCTTGTCTGGGGGGCTGCCAGCAGTACTTGGGCTTGGAGGAGATGCAGCTGCTGCTGCAGTGGTGTCAAAACAGGGTGTGGGGGTGATGGCTGGTGCATGTCACTGTGTCCTGATGCCTGGTGGCCCAGGTGGAGGGTGGGGGTCGCCACTGTTCCCACACCTCAGTTATTCCCACGAGACCGCAGCAGTACAGTGGTATGGATACGCGTAGGGTCTCCCATCTGTCCCAGTAGCTCCTGTCATGAGGTGGGGAGAGGCGGTGGGAGGGACGTGGTGCTGCCGGCAGCTTGGCTGGGGCACCTGGGAGCGTGCCCTGCCCCTCCTCACCCAGCTCCCCATCCATCCCTTGGCTGACCCAGGGCTGCCGGTGGGGAGGAGCAGCCTCTTCCCTCCCCCCTACCCGGCGGCCATCCTGACGTGGTTCTTCGGCTCTCCTCTCTCCTCCCGCTCCTCTCCAGCACCAGCTCCAGACCCAGCACCTCTCACACCACGCTCCTCCCATCCCGCTGACCCCCCACCCCTCCGGGATGCAGCCCACCGGCCTTGCTGGCATCAGCAGCACCTCGGGGCTGCTGGCGCTTTCAGGGGCACTGGGGGCCCAGGCCCAGCTTCTCTCCAAAGATGACCGAGGAGTCCATGACACTGAGCCTAGGGGTGAGCGTGGGGGGGACGGGAGACAGGGGCTGGGCTGGGGGGTCAGGTCTGGTGTGACCCTCCTGGCAGCAGGCAAGCCTGGGAAGGGGTGATGCTGGGCCCCGGGGCTGTGCTTGCTCCCCATGTCCTTCCCGCTTGGGCACTTCCCTGGGGTGGGTGGGGACCAGGGCTGGGTGGGGGGCAGCTTGTCTGTGCCTCGGGGCTCCCAGCTGGGCTGGTGGAGTGGGGGGCTTGCCAGCTGTGAGGGGTTTGGGTGGGGAATGTACCCCGCTGAGCAGCACCACCTGGGAGGGCAGTGGGGTGGGCTGGGGGGGGGGTCATCCCTGGTGGGGGCCCAGGACCACCCTGCTGCTGTAGCACTGGCCCGGCCCTGCCACGAGCACCCCAGCAGCTGCGGGAAGAGCGGGTGGCTTGAGTGGGCGGCTTTCCTGGGGGGCTCTCGGCGGTGGCACAGTGTGTCCCTCCTTCCCTCCTCCTGCTGCTGTGCTTCCGCGTTGCCACGGCGACAGAGCGAGACCCCGGCCCTGTAAGTGCCTTTTCCTTCTCTTGCACCGTTTCCCTCCAGCTGCGCAGGCTCCAGCCGGGACCCTGCGAGCCGGCAGCCATGCGGGGGACAGATCCCGCTGCCCGGCTGAGGCCCCACTGCTGGCACAGCCGTGTGGGTGGGTGCTCTCCCCCTGGGGACCCCTTCCCCGTGTCACGTGGGCAAACCGCACCGTTCCCCCAAGCAGCGTCCCCCTCGTTGCTCCTTCGGCAGGAGCTGAAGCCTGAACTGGTGGCACGGGGGGGCTGCGTTGGGGCCCTCGGTGCCCCTAGAGCCAGCCGCAGCCCTGCGTTGGTGCTGCCTGTCCTGGGGGCCGGGCACAGCAGCTCGCAGCCCCTAACGCTGTGTCCCCCTACCCCAGAGCTCCCTGGCGCTGCCCAATGGGGAGCGGGCACGAGCCATCTCCGAGTACCTGAGCAGCAGCAAAAAGAGGAAGGTGGAGGAGAAGGACTTCGTTACAGACTACGTGAGTCCAGGGCTGGGGGGCTTGGGGCATCCTCATCCCCTCTTGCAGGGCAATGTGTGGAGCTGCCTGTGCCTCCGGCACTTCCCAGGCAGGAGCGAGGGCAGCCTCAGCCCCTTTGGCTCCAACTGTCCTCTGTGTTTCAGGGCAGCGATGCAGACAAAAGTGAAGACAACTTGGTGGTGGATGAGGTCAGTGCACCGGGATGTCGGGCACTGGGAAGGGGCTGGGGTTGACGTGTGCTGCCTGTCCCTCTGCCTGAGCTGGGGGCTAACAGGCTGTTACAGGAGGAGGCAGGCAGCATGGGGAGGTGGCAGTGGGACCTGAGTCTTGCTTACCGGCCCTCACTGATGGCAGCGATGAGCCCCAGGATGCAGGGTCCCAGCCTGGCCCTCTCTGGAGCCACCGGCTCACCATGGCTTGGGACGTCCTTGCACTCCTGCCTGCTCTGCTGCCTGCTGATTTCCCTCCCCCTCCAGGACCCCTCTTCCCCGCACAGCGTCCATTCCTACTCATCCCGGGAGAATGGGGTGGAGAAGGTCCCACTGGGCAGGAAGGAGGCCATGCCGCTCAGCCCGACCTCCATGGCCTCCTCGAGCAGCACGTCCCCGTCTCGGAGCAAGGATGCACCCACGGTACATGAGTAGTGTGGGGCAGCTGGGGCGCTTCGCTCGGGGCTTGTGCTCGCGTCCCTGCTTCCCCGGGCTCGGCTGGCAGAGCTGCCGGACGTGGGTCCACCTGCCTCTAAACCCATGGGGTGAAGGCAATGCTGGAGGGACAGGGAGGGCTCCTGCTCCATTAGATCCCCTCTCGTGTCCCATCCCCCAGACCCTGCAGCGCTGGCTGGGCTGGGCTATCATCAGGGGTGAGGAAAATGGACCAGCTCGCTCGGGGGGGGACCTGAGGAGACCCCCGGCAGGGTGGTAGCGTGGCTGTCAGACCTCCCCGCTCTGTTCCTGGCAGGTGGAGAAGGTAGGGACGCCTAGCCTGAAGTCCAGCACACCCACCTCCCAGGGTGACACCGCAGCCCTGGGCTCCAGTGGTGCCCAGCAGTTTCGCCCTGCCGCCGCCAAGGCCCCCGTGGACCCACTGGGTGAGCTTGGCCCTGCCGGCACCCAGGCAGGTGGCTCTGAGTGCTGGTCCCCTGGTCCCCCGCGAGGATGGACCCTGGGCCCTGTCTCTTCATGCTGCCTCTCCCCCCGCAGCCCTGGGCCTGAGGAATCCGCTGGGAGTGCAGAGCCCCTACTCGGCTGCCTTTGGCATGGCCCACCCCGCAGTTAACGGGGACATGGCCGGGACTGGTGCCTACGCCAGCCTCCACCTCATGTCCCCGCAGCTCAACGGGGCTGCGGCCGCCGTGGGAGCCGGCAGCTACGGGCGCTCCCCCCTGGTGCGTGAGCCTCTTCCCTGCAGGGCTGAGGGGGCTGTGGGGCGCGAGCTGCTCTCACCCGCTGTCCCCTCCAGGTGGGCTACGACCCGCACCCCCACATGCGCGTCCCAGGGCTGGCAGCCGGCATGCAAGTGGGGACTTCGGGGAAACCGTAAGTGGGGCTGCGCTGGGCTGGGGGCTGTATGGGGGGCAGAGGATGAGGTGTCCTGCAGGGCTTAAGCTGCGGGGTGCAGGCAGGCGAGGCCCAGCAGGGATGGGGAGCACAGCCCAGTGATGGGGCACCCGTTTCTGGGCAGCGGCAGGCTATTGTGTGCCCAGCCAGGCTTCCCTGGGCACCGCTCTGCTCGTGGCTCTGATTCCAAACCGTGCTGCCTGTGTCAGGCACGCTGGGTCCGACATAGCACCAGCTACTCTCCGTGTAGGATCCTTGGCTGGTTCTTACTGCTCTGTCCCCTTCCAGCGCCTATTCCTTCCACGTCAGCGCCGACGGGCAGATGCAGCCGGTGCCTTTCCCACCCGACGCCCTCATCGGCTCTGGTATCCCCCGCCACGCTCGGCAGCTTCACACCCTGACCCACGGCGAGGTGGTCTGTGCCGTCACCATCAGCAACTCCACACGACACGTCTACACCGGGGGCAAGGGCTGCGTGAAGGTGTGGGACGTGGGGCAGCCAGGCACCAAGACAGCCGTGGCTCAGCTGGACTGTTTGGTAAGGAGGAGCGTGCCACCACTCTGGCACGGCCTTTTTCCCTGTTTCCCTGCACTGTGCCACAGTGCTGTGGTGCAGAGGGGCTCTGGGGTCTCCATTGCAGATCTTGGGGATGTGGGGGGCCTCTGAAAGTGACGGTGTGCACCGAGGAGAGTCTCCATGTGTGTTTCTAAGTGGGGGCAGTGGGGGGCTGCTGGGGAGGGATGGTGGCTCTGTGCTGCCAGTGTGCTCTCCTGTGCCACCCCATCTGTTCTGAGCATCCCAAGCTGTTGGGGGGCTTTTACACCCCCACGCCTTGGTACTGCTTTGTTTGACAGCACCTACCCTAAGACAAGCCTTTGCCAGTGTCAACCCGTCCTGGCCAGATACTTTGTACAGGCCAGAATTGCATGGGCTTGAAGCATCACTCGGATTCAGCTCTGTCCTTTCTGCTTTTGCTTGTGTGAGTCTGGCTGGAGGGAGAACTCCTATTTCTTTTAAAAATAAATGAAATGGACTGTCAGACCACAGCAACTCACCAGAGCCAAGCTGGAGGCACAGCCATCACCTGAGAGTATTTTTAACTTGTTTTCTTTGAGGTTTATTTTAAACGGGCTGCTGGAACTGGGAGTCCCTGTGCCTGCTTTGAACAGCCCAAACCCAAGTCCTCTCCTCGACTTGCTTGGGGCCTGGGCAGCCTGACAAATATTCCTGGATGGTGCTGACCTTGAAGATACAGATGCACAAACAAGGAAATGACTGAGTCATGATAATTTCAAGCTGCATCAGAAGTTTGGGAGCAGGGAAAAATGGTGTTCTAGTGCTCAGAGCCATGGGCTGTTTCAGCCTTGTTGGAGCTGCCTCCCTGGCTGCCCTTCGTCTCCTCCAGGACCAGCTGTGTCTGTTGGGCAGCTGCTGGCAGGGATGCTGTGGGTTGAGGGCGTCCCTGAGGCTGTTCATAGTGCAGTAACAAACTGAGGGGCTCCTATGGGGGCTGGCTGGGGCGACCACTCTGGGCATGGGACGGGGTGGGCTGCACAGCCACCCCTGCCCCAGCCCTGCTCTCCCACTGCTGCTGCTCCTACCCTCAGTATGAGCTGCTGGCCCTAGGGTGACCAGGCAGTCTGGGATGGGTGCAGAAGGGCTGGAGGGGAAGGGGTTAACAGGGTCCTCTCTCCTGCACCCTAGAACCGCGACAACTACATCCGCTCCTGCAAGCTGCTGCCTGACGGCCGGAGCCTTATCGTGGGGGGGGAGGCCAGCACCCTCTCCATCTGGGACCTGGCAGCCCCAACGCCCCGCATCAAGGCCGAGCTCACCTCCTCTGCCCCCGCCTGCTATGCCCTGGCCATCAGCCCCGACGCCAAAGTCTGCTTCTCCTGCTGCAGCGACGGCAACATCGTGGTGTGGGACCTACAGAACCAGACCCTGGTCAGGTGAGCCTGGGACAGGGGGAGCGTGGGCAGGGCTCGTCAGGCCAGGGACCGTCAGGCCAGGGACTGCTTGGTCCCCTCCAGGGCCTTCCCTCCCCGCGGTCTAACCCTGGCCATAGGACAGTCCCTGTCCTTGCAGCAGGGATCTGCTCTCGCTGCTGGGTGCTGCTCCGGCCCACACTTTGCACTGCAGGTGCTGGTGGTGCTGGCAGCCCCGACAGCCATGCTCTCGCCCTCTCTGTCCCCCTCTTTCCCAGGCAGTTTCAAGGCCACACAGATGGTGCCAGCTGCATCGACATCTCTAACGATGGTACCAAGCTGTGGACAGGGGGGCTGGACAACACAGTACGGTGCTGGGACCTGCGGGAAGGGCGTCAGCTGCAGCAGCATGACTTCAGCTCCCAGGTAGGGACTGGGGCCGACCGGGAGCACCATGGGGCTGGCTGGGACCTGCTGGGCCACTGCCTGACCCTGTCTCTCTCCCTAGATCTTCTCCCTGGGTTACTGCCCAACGGGAGAGTGGCTGGCAGTGGGCATGGAGAGCAGCAACGTGGAGATCCTGCATGTCACCAAACCAGACAAGTACCAGCTGCACCTCCATGAGAGCTGCGTTCTCTCCCTCAAATTCGCCTCCTGCGGTAGGCACACCTGTCCCAGCCCGCTGGCTCTGGAACCTTGTGGATGGAGTCTCCTCTCCTAGCCATGTGTCTCAGAGCTTTTTGCACTGGGGGCAAGCACTGGCTCCAGTAGCCAGCCCAGTTCTGTGTGGATGCTAGTGGTATCCTTCAGAGAAGGGGTGTCTGTTCCTCCTGGAGCAACATCCATGGCTGCACTCTCAGCTCTATTGTCACAGGACTCCCCTTTGTGTTCCTGAAAACAGTGCCTTGGTTAATGAGTGCTGGAGGTGTTGCTTTCTTGTTCCCACCTTGTGTTACACAACCTGGGCACAATTTGCTGCAGGAATACAGCTGGTGGGCCTGGTTTGGTGATATGATGCTCCTCTTTGTCCCTTCTGTCCTTCCCACAGGGAAGTGGTTTGTGAGCACGGGGAAGGACAACCTGCTGAATGCCTGGCGGACACCCTATGGAGCCAGCATCTTCCAGGTGTGGGGCATACGTAGCCTTCGTGATCAGGGGTTGGGAGGAGATGTTCCTCTGGGTGAGGTTGCCCAGAGCTGGGATGGCCCAGTACAACCCAGCTGTAAATGTATCTTAGCAGTAATGAGCCCCATAAACAAATTTGTCCCTGCAGCCCCCCCCCGGCGCAGCTCGGGGCCCCAGGTCCCAAGGGGTGGGACTGGGACCTTGCTCTGGGGCTGCTTCTTGTTCTTACCCCCTGCCCTCCTCTCTCCAGTCAAAGGAAACCTCCTCCGTCCTCAGCTGCGATGTCTCCACGGATGACCAGTTCATCGTGACTGGCTCAGGGGACAAGAAAGCTACGGTTTACGAGGTCATTTACTGAGAGCAAGAGAGGTGCCAACTGCAGGGAGGGCCCACACAACGTGGACAGGCACGTGTCCATGTGGACAGACGGGTGGACTCTACCTGCCCTGCTGCTGACTTCCCAAAGAATGTGCAGCCTGTGGCCAGGGCATCCAAGCCGGAGGAGAGCGGCGAGGGGTGGAGGTGGCCCTGGGACCACAGCCAGGCGTCATGCTGGGCTGGGACGTGGCGGCTGCTGCTCGCAGTGAATTTCCTGGGGACTTTCTCCTTGTTTTGTTCTTTATTTGTTGGCTTGTTTCTAAATCTGGACTGTGGGCGTTGAGGGGGGAGGGTCTGGCATTGTTAAGGTTTTTTGTTCGGGGTTTTTGAGGTTTTTTTGGTTCTAACTTTTTGCTGTGGTTTTTTTTTTCTGTTAAGTCTCTGGGTCAGGCTGAGGAAGATGGGCTCTGTCCTCATCTACCTCTGTGCCTCCTAGGCATTTAATATGTATTTAATAATAAAATCAAACAAAAAAGCACCGCTGGACCTCGTCCTGGGCAGTAGCCTTGGTGCTCTGTGGCCGTGGGCTGGAGCCAGCTGAGGATGGGTGAGACCAGGGCCAGTGGGGCAGTGGCATCATCCCCTTTGGCTGCCATGGCTCACCGCTCCTTTCCCTTCCCTGCATCGGGGCAGGTTTGTTGCCGCCCTCTGCAGCAGGCAGCACTGTGGGGCCTGGCAGCAGGACTGCACTGCCAGCACTCTCCTCACTCAGCCCTGCATCGGTCCTGCGCGTGGTGGAAAGCATCCCGGGGCCGGAGCGCTGCTGACCACGAGGGTTAGGACGTATGGTGGTGGCTGCTGTGCGGTGCTGTCCCTTGAGCAGTCTGTGTCTCTGTGGGGTGTGGGGCAGAAGCCGGTGCTGGAGGAAGCGGTTTTTGAAGGAAATGAGATGTGAGCAGTCGGCACTGGCTTATCGGTCTGGCTTCCTGCCAGAGCTGCCGTGGGGGAAGCAGGGCTGTTGCCGAGAGCCTTGGAGCACAGCCCGCCAGCAGCGGCCACGGTGAGAGCTGGCAGGGAAGCAGGGCGCTGCCGGCTGCCGTGTGGCTGCTGCGATGCACTCCTGCCCCGACCCCAGCCTCGAGACGCAGCTCACTGCATCCAGCCCTGAGCCAGGGCTGCTGTGGCAGGCGGGCAGGAGCAGCTCTGCCATGGTAGGAAAGGCTGCTCTGGTGCTGCTGGCCAAGGGAGGGCAGGGGCCTATCCTGGACCCCCCAGCTACACTTCACAGCCCAGCCCTTGCCATTGCCAGAGAGTGAGCCCAGTGGGGCCATGCGGCTGGGGAAGCTGCAGCTGAGGTGACCCTCGCTCTATACCCCTGAGGGGGTGCAGGATGGGAGCAGCTCCTGCTTCTGCCCCCCCAGCCCCACAGCAGGGCCTTGCACCCCAACTGCCACCATGGGAGGGGGCTGAGCCCCTGGCTCTTGGGCACAGCTGCAGATGCTATTTAAGAGGATCTGGGGCTGGCAGTCAGCTGCTGGGAGAGGTTTCCATCAATCCTGCAGTGAGATCAGCCACTCTTTTGTTCTTTTTTATTAGTAAGGGATTGAAAACACAGTTAAATACATTTCTTTACTGATAATTTACAGCTGTTTCACAGCAGAAAATGGGTGCTATTAAATCAGTAGCAATACTTCAGGAGCAACACTATCTCCATCACTCTTGGCCTCATCTTGCCATCCTGACGGACAGTAGGATGCTCAGACCAGCCCCTGCGCTGCCCAGCCTCAGGGGATGCCTGGCCATGACAAGTGCTCACCTCCAGCTCTCCCCTTCACCTCTGTAACACATTGGGCAGGAACTGGGAGGGTGGCTGAAAGGAGAGGAGGAGGAGGCAAAGCAGGGCTGCAGGAGGGCTGGCCCAGCATGGGAGGCCTCCACTAGCCCCAGTGGCTTTTAGCAATACCTGACCCCTTCCCTGATGGACGAGGGATGGTGACTGATGGGGCCTCAGTACACCACCTCGTACACGGTGGCCTTCTTGTCACCAGAGCCCGTAACGATGAATTTGTCATTGATGGAGATGTCACAGCTCAGCACAGATGAGGACTCTTTAGACTGAATAGGAGAGAGGCAGGCGGTGAGTGCTGCGCTGCTGGCTAAAGCCGCCATCATCCCCCCACCAAATGTCTCCCCCGCACCTGGAAGATGCTGGCTCCATACGGTGTCCGCCAGGCATTCAGCAGGTTGTCCTTCCCCGTGCTCACGAACCACTTTCCTGGGGCAGGACACAAAGTGGGTCAGCATTTGTGACTCTGTTCAGGGGAGCCAAGCATGGGGGGGGGGGAACCAAAAGGACCCATCTGGGGCTGTGCACAGCCCAGGCAGAAACTATAGAGCTCGCCTACCACAGGAGGCAAATTTGAGGGAGAGGACGCAGCTCTCATGGAGGTGCAGCTGGTACTTCTCAGGTTTGGTGACGTGCAGGATCTCCACGTTGCTGCTCTCCATGCCCACTGCCAGCCACTCTCCCGTTGGGCAGTAACCCAGGGAGAAGATCTAGGGAGAGAGACAGGGTCAGGCAGTGGCCCAGCAGGTCCCAGCCAGCCCCATGGTGCTCCCGGTCGGCCCCAGTCCCTACCTGGGAGCTGAAGTCATGCTGCTGCAGCTGACGCCCTTCCCGCAGGTCCCAGCACCGTACTGTGTTGTCCAGCCCCCCTGTCCACAGCTTGGTGCCATAGTTAGAGATATCAATGCAGCTGGCACCATCTGTGTGGCCTTGAAACTGCCTGGGAAAGAGGGGGACAGAGAGGGCGAGAGCATGGCTGTCAGGGCTGCCAGCTTCCTAAAAGCCAGCACCCCTGCCCTGTTCCTGCCCTGTGCCACCAGCCACCTGCCCCAGGCTCACCTCACCATGGTCTGGTTCTGCAGGTCCCACACCACAATGTTGCCGTCGCTGCAGCAGGAGAAGCAGACTTTGGCGTCGGGGCTGATGGCCAGGGCATAGCAGGCGGGGGCAGAGGAGGTGAGCTCGGCCTTGATGCGGGGCGTTGGGGCTGCCAGGTCCCAGATGGAGAGGGTGCTGGCCTCCCCCCCCACGATAAGGCTCCGGCCGTCAGGCAGCAGCTTGCAGGAGCGGATGTAGTTGTCGCGGTTCTGAATTGGGATTACAGGGAATGGGGTGAATGAAGAAGGAGCTGATCAGTGCATGGCAGGGATGTGTGGGAGATAGATCTCCTTTTCTCATCACAGACATGAAAGGACCCTCTGTTCCCCTCCATTGTAACAGGGGCACATTCCCCTTCCCAACCTCCCACAAATGCCTTTCTGTTCCTCCTCTTTACCAAACAGTCCAGCTGAGCCACAGCCGTCTTGGTGCCTGGCTGCCCCACATCCCACACCTTCACACAGCCCTTGCCCCCAGTGTAGACATGCTGTGTGGAATTGCTGATGGTGACGGCGCAGACCACCTCGCCGTGGGTCAGGGTGTGAAGCTGCCGAGCGTGGCGGGGGATGCCGGAGCCGATGAGGGCGTCGGGTGGGAAAGGCACCGGCTGCATCTGCCCGTCGGCGCTGACGTGGAAGGAATAGGCACTGGAAGAGAGCAGAAGAGAGGGCTGAACAATCCCTGAGTGACTCCTGAGTGCAGGAGCTGACCTCTCCCATTAGCCATGCTTGAGCCAGGTGGAAGGTGTCTGATGCACTCTGGCTAATGAGGGATATAATTAACCAGCTCCTTGTTACCACCAGCTGCCTGGAACCAAAGGACAGCATTGGACTCAGAAGTGGAGAGAAACTCTAGCCAGGCCCTGCCCTGCCCTACGCTTGCTGGGTGTAGAAATGAGCCCTGGAGAAGGAGACTCCCCCCTCATACCCACCCCATGCTGCACAGCTCAGCCCCTTGGTGCCCACCCTCCCTGCAGCTCCTGCGTGTGTGGCCACACTTACGGTTTCCCTCCAGGGATGGTGGGGAGTGAAGATGAGATGGTGGAAGCCCTCAGGTGAGGGTGCGACTCAAAAGCCACCTGTACAAAGCAAAGAGCACATGACAAGCAAATGCCAGCGACACAAAGGCTTGCGCTCATGCCTTTCCCTGCATGCCCCACGACTGGGCCAGCCTGGCTCTGTGCAATGTCCCTGCTTGCCCCTTCCGCAACACACACGTGACAAAGGCCAAAATGGACTCCCAAAGACACAGCTACATAGCAGTGGGACCAGTGGGGGCTTCTCTGAGAGCTCTGCAGCCTTCACTGGCCCCAGACACCTCCAGAAGGGAGACCTTCCTAAGGCTGCTCCCCTCCCCAGCTTGAGCTCATTGCAGCAGTGCAGATACTGCACGTCAGTGACAGTGCATGCCCAGGACAGCAGGGGACAGGCAGCAGAGCCAACACGTGCCAGCAGACTTGATCTCTCCCTCAGCAACTTACCATTGCGGACTGGCCGTACATCATGGCGCTGCTGACCTGCGGCAAGAGGTGGATGCCCATGTACATGCTGGAGGCTGGGAGCTCCCCATTGAGGGTGGCATGAGGCACCATCCCGAAGGAGGATGTGTAGGGGCTGGACATGCTCAGTGGGCTGCGGAGAGCTGCATGAGGAGAGACCTGCTCATGGGCCCTGGCCAACGGGTATGAGCGAGCATCACGCGAGGGAAAAGGGCATCTGGCAGAAACCAGGCAGCAAGAGGCAGCGACACCTCTGCACTGGGGCAAGCCAAGCTTGGCATGAACCAGCGGATCAGGAGGAGGGCAGGCAGGTTATGGATTGGGAGCCAAAGACCCAAGGAGAGGGGTGGACCCTGAGTCCCATCAGTCACGGACCTCCATGCAGATGCAGCACGGAAGATCAAATGGCTCCATCCCTCCAAAGGACACACCACGGACCAGCCACTAATCCACAGCAACCCTCATCTCTGCTGCCAGTGCCAGTTCAGTCTTGGCCAGGCCAAGCTACCTGCAGTTGATGGCTAAGTGGCTCTACCTGCAGGGCTTTGATGGTTTATTGAAATCGATTCCAATTCAATTTTTGCTAAACCGCTGTAGTTTTCTAGCCCAGACAAGGGCTTAATATCTCCTGTCTTGGCTTTATTTCTCCCTTGGGCTAGCTGTCCTCCTCCCATCACCTTCTGGTCCCTTTGGCTAGACAGTAGCCAAGCTGTTCCAGAGACCTCTTCCCAAGGATTCCCTAAATGTCTTCAAGGAAACTGAGGCAGGAAAAGGGGGTATGACTAATTCACCATCAGCCACCACAGAGGCCACTACTGAGCCCTCATCCCTCTCCCTTGTGCTTTCAGAAGGTGGCAGCCATTGACAGGGGCTCCTGAGTCAGCTGGTTCCCATCCAGGGTTGCTCCAGCACCCAGCGCACACAGACCCTCATCCCTACAAAGATCCTCACCTGCACAAGGAGGCTGGCTGTGTCCTGGCCTCCTGCAACCCTGTGTGCCGGTGGTGGCACTTGGGACACCCCTCCTACCCCTGCAGCCAAGGCCTGAAGCATGCCGCTTCACACAGCGACACCAAAATGACAACTTGTCAGAGAAAAATGACCCTCTCCAGACAAAACACCTGCACCCCCCCCACCAACAGCTGTAGCAAAGAACTCTGCACATTGACACACCAACTCCAGCAGGTCTGAGCCCACCAGGAAAGCACTGGCAGTCAGATATGTGGTAATTGCACATAGGTGCACACAGTGGCCATGGTCGATCCACCCGATTATGTGAAGCGAAACAGCCCCCCCAGCTCTGCTGATGGGACAGAGCATCTTGCCTCCCCTCACCCCAGCCCCACCCGCAGCAGAGCACGACACCTCCCCACTATCCCCGGACACTCACTGATGGTGTCGGTGGCAGGTGCCTTGGCAGGGGGCTGCCGGAGCAAGGCGGCCGAGCTGGGCCCAGGGCCGGGTGTGAGGGAGTCGCGGGGCGGCGAGGAAGTGACGGGCTTGGAGGTGGGAGCGCTGGCTGGAGGGTCGGTCTATGGGGCAGAGGAAAGAGCAGCCTCAGTGGCAGGACCGCTGCTCGGGAGAGCGATCCCCAGCACCACGCGCCTGCCAACAGCTTCGAACCACCTGGGAGGGGGCACCAAGAGGCACCACTGCCGGCCAGAGCTGGATGGGGACTTGGCCATCCTGGGTCTGATCCCCTCTCCTTTCCTCCTTTGCCCCTTGTGCCCTTGCCATGGCTTGGAAGGATCTCCATGTCTCCACTCCCCCCACTCGGGTACAAATGCCCAATGCAAACCCTGGGTCACCCCAAATTGCCACAATCCAGCACCCTGCTGCCAGCATGATGCCCCGTGGGGCTGTTATGCAGACATTTGCTTCTCCCTCGTGTGAAATCCCTCCTGTGCTGGGGCATCCCCATCCCCAGCCTGCGGGGAGCAGGGCCAGGAGGATGCCTGGGACAAAACAGCCTCTCCGATCCCCATAGCTATTTTATTCCTTTCTTTTTTCTTGCCTCTCCTATTTCTTCCTCTTTTTCTGCCTGGAGATTTTGCCGACACCAGCAAAGAAAAAAAAAATTAATAACAGAGAAAAGCTACGTGCTGCGCTGGCAGATTGCTCAGGGCGCTTTGTCTGCTCTAATCCGATTGTGCCGGGGAGCTGCCGCTTGCTGCTCCCCGCGGCCCCCAGCCAGCTCCTGGGATGGTGGGGATACACCGCTTCCATCCCTGTGGTGGCTGGGAGAGCCAAGGAGCGGCAGAAACATCCCTCCCCCTTCCCACATGCTGATGTTTCAATCTGAGCATTGGGCTGGTGCTTGGCAAGGAGGAAGGGGGGAAAAAAAAAAAAAAAAAATCGATTGCTGAGAGCAGCTCTGGGGAATCCTGCAGGCAGCCAGATGGAAAATACCTGCAGAGCCAGGCCTCTGCCTAGCAGATGATGAGCCTCCCTCCAAGGGCACGGACCTCTGCTCCCAGTGCTGGGAGTCTGGTGGTGGGTACCAAGCACTCAGCACCAGCATCTCCTCACCCACCTTCAGGCTGTGGTAGATGAGCTACAGAGAAATTTGGGGCCACATCCCTGGCCCTGCTGCCCACCCACAGCCTGGGCTGCCCACACTGCTCCCTACCAGACTCTGGTCCTTCGGCTTGAGGGGTGTCGCGCTCCGGCTGGAGGCAATGGAGGCAGGGCTCTCGGGCATCTCCTGGTGGGCTGGCGGGAGCCGGCTGCTGGGTGCACGGCCGGGGCTGCCAGGCTCCGAGGGGGGGTCCTGGGGGAAGAAGAGGCCTCTGGGGAGCGGGAACCCCAGTCCCTCTGCACAGGATGGCAGGCCCAGAGCCCAGTAGGGACCATCAAGCCCCCATCTGCTCCACCCCGCCTGCCAGATGAGCTGCTCATCCAGCCGCTCGCTGTCCTATGTCTGCCTGAGCGGCATTAACAAGGAGCATCCTCTTAGAGGCCTCAGCTCTGCTCCAGTCCCCTGGATGAGAAACCTCCTTGATTTTTTCCTCTCTGAACAAAATTAGAGGTGACAGCAGATTCAGAAGACACTGGTGGCCACGGATGCCTTCACAAGGAGAGATGGTGACCAGCACACCCAAGGAATTGAGAAAAGGCCTCTTGGCAGCCTCTCGACAGCATTTCAGAGGCAAGGCCACCCATCAGCTCTTGCACTCCTACAACCATTCAATTAGGGCTGTGATTTTTATCACCATAATTACACTGATAAGCAGTTTTTATAAGTGTCCTTTCCTGCAGAAATTCCTGCTCATGTTCCTTTCAGGGCTTGTATTTTCTTGGGAAGTGGGAGGAGGAAAAAAAAAAAATTAAAAAAAAAAAAAAAAAAAAAATCACATGTTGTCCCTTCCCCCCAGTCTTCCAGGGGAGGAAAAGGGATGTCCCCGAAAACATCATCTCTGCCAAGAATAGCTGGGGCTGGCATAAAGTACTGTTGTATCTGCCTTGGTGGTCAGGGAAGGTTGTACCAGAAGCGCCTGACAGTTTGGCTGCAAGAGACTGAAATTCAGCGTACCCCCTGCACCGAGACGTGGACACGGGCTCAGTAAAGTCAAGGCTGCTCTAAGGCCAGGAACCGTATGAGACTGCTCGGACAGGGGCTGGCAGGGCCAGGCCGGTTGGGGGTGTGCTGCAAGGTCTCCTGCCAAAGGCAGCACAGCATGCCTGCCTGCTCCTGCCACCTCCACGTGCATGAGCTGCCAGCAGCAAGCCCAGCTCCCCGGGGCTCTCATCGCAGCTTATCAGCCTCCCCATATGGGATGCTACAGGAGAGGGGCTGAAACAGGATTGTGAAGCAGAGACAAGTCTATGGCTGGCAAAGCTGAGCCCTGGCTGGTGCAACCTTCCACCTGGAGCACTGCGAATTGGAATCAGCCTTGGCTGGCATGAACACACCAGAGCAGGGCTGGCACATGTCCTGGCTGGCCACTCCTGCCCAGCAGCAATGACCTGGAGCCTAACGAACCCCTGCGCTCGGGAACCAGAGTCCTAAAGCTGCTTGAACTGGATACCCCGCGAGGCTTCAGCATGCCCTTAAGGGTGGTGTGGGCTTACCTCATCCACCACAAGGTTGTAGTCACTCTTGTCCCCATCGCTATCCTGCAAGGGGGGAGAAACCCAGAAAGGCCCAGTCAGGAGCGGGAGAGGCTGGACCAAGCTCTGACCTCTGCCCCACAGGACCCCAGCCAGCCGAGAGACCCCATTTTCTCCCACACATCACTTCTTGTGGACCAACACCACACCCTGCAGGCAGCGACTCAACCCTCTGGCTGAGGGCCCTCCCCAGGGCTCTTCATTTTGCTCATTTCTTTTCGCGGGATTACAGCCATCCGCACCGGGGGCAGGCACAGAGCTCCCCAGCTACCTCTAGGGTCCAGGCCCGTCTCCCACGGCCACGCTTTTTGGTGCACTCACGTAATGCCCAGGTAGGTCCTTCTCCTCCAGCTTCCGCTTCAGCCCCGTGCCTCCCATCCGCTCCTCATCCTGCAGGCTTTCAGGAGGGGAAGCAGAAATGCTCTGAGCCAGAGAGGGGGAGAGGAAGGCATGTGAGCCGGCGGGAGAGCAGACAGCCTGCAAAGCCCTGCCAGATGCATTTCCTCTCTGCAAGAGACCTCCCAGTGCTGCTGGCTGCACCCAGCCAGCGTCCAGCATCCAGCCAGCTATCTGTGCAGCCTGTGCCAGAGCCGGTTTTGGGGGGAAGGGGTCCCCTTCCCCCACCAAGCAGGTGTCAGGGCTAAAGGGGGAGGCACTACTCTCCCCCTCTGCACAGATACCTGTGGCATTCCCTTACTAGCATCCCATGCACCCTTGGCCAAGAGTCCTCTAAGATCCAAATGTACTTGGGGGTAGAGATGGGGTTTAGTCTGGTGCTTAAGCAAGGCCGGGGAAGATGCTTCCAGACCCTTGAGTTCTAGCCCAAATTCATCCATTCAGCTCTGATGAGGGAGAGAGAAGGGAAGCAGGATGGGGATCATCCCTGGGGGTTGGCTGCCCACAGTCTCCTGGCATGGGCAGAAGGCAGATCCATTTTTAGGGTGCTCGGAGACTCACCCACACGGAGCCCCAACACACCCTCACCTCCCTTTCCCAGCTTGGCCGCAGAATGACTCCAAAGTGAGCTGCCCTCACCCCTGAAACCTGGCCAGGCCCCATGCCCCTGGCCCTCTCCAGGGACAGCACGGCCGGTCCCTCAGCCCACAGGAGGAAGAGGGAGAGAACAAAGCCCTGCCCAAAACCCCAAAGCCACAGGCTCCCCTTCCTTGCCAGAGCGGAGGAGTGGGCAATGGGGCAGGGGGGCAACAGCCCCAGCCGGCAGATGAGCCCTGCTGTGACAGGGACAGGGGAGGACGAGGGGTTGCAGCCATGCCCTGGCCCAGCCATGGCATGCAGGGCTGTGTGAAGCCAGGAGCCGAGCGAGGCAGCATCCCCAGCGTGGCTGGAGAGCAGATCCGCTCCTTCGGGAGATAACAAGGCATGGCGGAGTGGAAAATCCCCACTGGAGATGTGTTTACTTCACCTTAACCCTGCTGCTGCAGGAGCCAGCAGGCTGGGAAGCAGGATGGGTCGGAGCGGGATGAACGCCGCTTCCCTGAGATGCTGCCAGCAGCCGCGGGGGTGTCTCAAATCCCCTCCTGCCCCCCAAGCTCTCTGCTTGGAGGATGATAATGCAATCAAGCAGTGCCTGCCCACCCGCAGCCCCCTGGCTCTCATGCAAACCAGAGGAACACCAGGCTGACACCAGTTACCAGAGAGGCTGCCCTTCCTCTCAGAGCAGCCACAGTGCTTGGGCTGGGGCAGTTTCTGGGGCACAGCTCCCCGACCTTCCCAGGCCTGCTCTGCAGAGCTGTTCATGCCAGGGGTCGAGGAGAAAATGCCTCATCCCAGGGCTCCCACACAGTCAATTTTTTGCAGCACAGTAGGATTAAGAACCTTGACTGGAGCAGAAAGAATGCTCCCTGTCCCCTGAGTGATCTCTGTAGGAGGTACCGGGGTATATATGGGATCACCGGGTAATTCATCCTGTACAGCACAGCAACCATCTCTCCCTCCTCCTCTCCCACCTGACTGCAAGCCTATGAAGATCAATGCCAATTGCTCCCCAATGGAGGGGCTTAACGCTTCCCTCTCCTGCCTGTACCAGGAGCTGGAGCTCTGGCTTACTGCAGCTATGGAGCCTGGGACGGGAGTCACAGGGACTCACGACAGGCTGGGGGGTATTTTTCAAGGGAGGGTGTAGCCAAGAGTTGCAGAGGGGCTGGCAGCACTGGGCTTAGGTAAGGAGACCTGTTCAGGGTGTTTTCTAAACTGGAAACTCCTTGAAAAGGAGAGAGTTGGTTATTTCGGGAGCAGCCCTCGACCTTTAGATTCTTGCATCAGCAAAGATTCTGAATTGAGGTGGCCCAGAACCTTCAGCTACAAAATCCCAATGCAAACACAGCCCATCCAAGCCAGCAAAGGGAAGAGAGGCTATGATAAGCAGAGCCCCTTTGTCTTACATTCTCCACTCAGATGTTCTCCTGAACAACCCTCCATCCCCACACACACATTCACCACTTGGTTGCTCCTACCCTCCACACTGCAGCTGGATTTACTCTCCAGCCTGCAGCACAGTGGAGTTCAAGCATGGCTCTGTTGCACCCTAGACACGGCTGCATTTCAGCACTGCCTCCACCGTGCATGTGCCAGTGGAGCGGATGCCAGCTCAGGTGCAGCAGCAGGGCTGGAGCCTGTGCATTCACACCCCTGGGGCTCAAGCTGGGTTTGCACATGCAGTGGTGCTCACCAGAGGAACTGGGCTGCCTCAGGAGCCAGGGCAGAAGAGCTGGGCTCTGCTCAGGGTAACAGCAGAAGGGCTGGACACTTTGCCCTGGATAAACAAGGGTGAAAATGCACAGCTGGACATAGGTCAGGACCCCCCTCATTAGGCGGCCTGGAAGGAGGCTCTTTCTAGCCCTTGGGGAAATCAGCTCCACTGAGAAATAGGGATGACCCCAAAATTCCTCAAATTCAGAGACTTGGCCCAGCCTCGTGAGGACCCCTGCATTGCTTGCGAGAGAGGGCAGAGCTGCCCCAAGTCCCTCTCCCCACCTACCCCCAGCTTGCCCTTACCTTTTTGCCATGCTAAGCCCTTGCAAACTCAGTACCCAGGGGAAGGCCAGTCCTGGGAGCCTGTCACCCTAGTCACCTTGTGTGCAAACACAGACAGCCTTGAAAGGTGACTCACGGTGGCAGGGGGAGATGTCCCCTACTCTTATCCACCAAGCTGGGGAGGGAAGGGGAGGAAAGGAGCCCACACATCAGGAGAAATTAATGGGAGACCTGGAGTCCACAGGAAAAGGACAGCAGGATGCCTGGGCTGTGGCGTACAAGGGAACAACTTGGATCTGCCCTGCCTGCAGAGCTGCCTCGCCTGCCCAAGGAGCCCTGTGACACCAACCTGGCCCCATGTGTGAACAAAACCCCAGTACCTGCCACTGCCTCTCCTTGTGCTGGAGCACAGCATCATAGGCTGCCATCAGACAGAGGACAGCTCAGCTACCTCTGGGCTGTTTGCTTTGAAAAGGTCAGGAAACAAAACATTCCTGGAAATCCTACTGCGATCTCTTGCCAAGGGAGCCAGCTACAGCGCCTGCAGAAGACACGGCCCCTGCGCCTGCCCGCACTGCCAGCCTCAGCCAGGAGCTGCCCCAAAGCCACGACCACCCCTGCCCCCGGGTGCCCTCCCTGCAGCCGGGCTCCTCCAGCACCCGCAGCCCTTCCCAGGAGCTGGCAGCCAGCTCTGCCTCCTGCCTGGAGATGCTCAAAGTGACTCCGGCGGCTGGCAGGCTGCCAGGCAGGGCCCTGTGGATGGAAAGCCTGTCCACTCGCTCCCGCATCCAGGCTAGCTGAGGCCACCGGCCCGGCCAGAACCAGGCATGCCGGTGTGACTTACCCGGCTCGGGGTGCGCTCTGGAGCCCAGGCAGCAGCAGGGAGAGTGTCCGGGCAGGTCCGTGTCAGCGAGGCAGAGGGGAGGAGAGGAAGAGGCTGTTAATGCGAAGGCTGTGTCCCAAGTACCCAGGTAGGGAGGAGAGGGGGACACTGCAGGGCAACACGGGAGGAGACAGCAGGACACAAGCTGAGAAAAATCACACCCGATTTCCCACTTTGCCCATCTGCAGCGTGGATTCTCTGATGTCTAATAGGAGGTGAGCCCAACAGTATTCCTCAGGGAAGCAGGGGGAATCGCTAATCCACCCACCTACTTTTAAGAAACTCAATCCAGCTTTGGAATCTCTTCCTTGGACGTGGCAATGGGTCCACAGCTGCCAGGAGGGGACAAGCCAGCCGGCCAGCTGAGACCTCCTGAATCACACCCATCCTATTTCCTTAGGAAGCCATGCTAAAAAGCCCTGCTTTGGAAACCCTCCGAGGCTTTTTTACCTGCACAACAAAACAGGTCCACCTCCCCAACCTGAAGGAAGAAGTCCCAGGCATTTGCTATAAACCGAAGCATGGGGCTTTGGGCTGGGGTCTAGAAACCCCTCCTGGTTGATTTTCAGTCCTAATGATCGCATCAGCATGTGGAAGGAACAAATTTGTCCCGGTCTCTGCTGGCAAAAGGAGGCAGGCAGGTTTCAGGAGGTGAGGGACTCTCGTGTGGGTGGCTACTCCAAGGCTATGGTCAGCACCAAGCCGGGGAAAGGGGAGGGAGAGGGACTGGGTGCCTGCCATCAGCACTTCAGCCCTGGCTCAGCTTGATCCACACCAGCTCCAGCTAACCATGGCAGAGCACCAGGGATTAAGCCAAGCAACATGCAGAATTTTTTTTTTTTCTTGTTAAAGGAATTATTCTGGGTGTCTCTGTGCCCTCTGCCACGGCTGGATGCCCCTGCCAAGGAGCAGCTCAGCTGTGCACGGCAGGAGCTGCTGCTGGAAGCACAGGCTGCCCGAGTCTCTAAGGGTTAAGGCAGGCACAGCACAGCCTCCTTTTATCCTCTTTCTGGAGTTTGTTTTTCTCCTTCGGTAGAAGGCCATCCTTAAAGAAACACTGACAGAACTAAAACCACAGACACCTGCGTACAGGCACACAAAGCAGACACGGACAATTTCCTGCTGCTGTTTTCACCACCTTGAAATGTTACAAGCAAAACTGGACATTAGGAAAATGCAACAAACCCCTCCAGTGCCCAGTTTCGCTGTTACCATTGGGTCCTGTCCCAGCAGCATTTCCAGGCCCCAAACTGGGGACATGGGGAGCAGCAGCCAGCACCTTCCCCAGAGGAGTCTGCAGAGGAGCATCACTACGGCTGCTGAATTTTACTGCCTGTTTCTAGTCCTTAGAGCTGCCCTGCTGCCCGGAGCCCTCTGTCCATGCCTCAGTCTTGCTGTCAGCAAAAACACCCAGTGCCTGCGCTCTGCAGAAGGTGACTTGAGCTCAGAGTGGCTCTTCCTTCATGCAGTGCTTCAGTAGCAACGAGCCACCAGCAAAGCTGGGTGGTGTTATTAATTTGGCCCAGGCCTGCCAGTAGCATTCAGAGCACTGATTTAACAATGATTAAATATTGATGATGTTTGTAAAGCACTTTGTGATCCTGATAGGAGGAGGCACCCATAAGGATGAGGAATTATGGCTATTTACAAGGCACCACACAGGCAATAAGGCTCCGCTTTCTAAATTCCTTGCCACAGACCCATGGCTCTCAATTTCTACCAGGGGCTTGCAACAGTGTTTTCCCTTAAAGTCTCAGCTTAGGGCATCAGATCTTTACCTGGTGTAAACCTTGGTGTAAACAGAGAGGGTTTCTCTGTGGCGGGGATCTCACACCCTCCCAGCTGCCTGGTGGAGGTGGGACCCTCACACACTGGAAATACCCAGCAGAGCAGGAAGACCCATGCACGCACACACATACGTGCTCAGACCCCTGCTGCCCAGAGTCTGGGGTGCACACACAGCTCCCCCCCCGCTTCACTGCATGGCAGCTGTTCCCTGGGTCAGAAATACAGCCAGCCTCCCGGGGCTGCAGATATTTAATTAGCTGGATCTGTCATTCGCAGTGCTTGCCGCTCCCCCTGGCCCCAGGGAGCAGCTGCCAGGCGTTGAGGAGCCCCAGGAAACAGGCAGAGCAGGCAGCAGGATCCCTCCCCAGCGCTGCCCGTGCACCTCTGGCACATCTGCTCAGCAGTGACTCAGCCAGCCTTCAAAGGGTTAATCCAGCTGTGCTTTTTCCCCTTACCTCTGTTCTCCCCATCCTGGGCCACTCTGTCCTCCTTGGCAGCCAGGTGAGACTGTGCCATCAATGCCCCCGAGAGGGCCAGGAGCCCCGAGGTGCCGCTGACCCCGCTCAGGCTAGAAGGCTGCATGCTGGAGGGGTGGGGTGTCAGCGGGATGGGGGATGCGTGGTGGGAGAGATGCTGAAGCTGCTGCTGCTGAAAGAGAAAGAGCAAATGGTCCTCAGTTCAGGAGGAGACAGCCGCAGCCATGCCCAGCACCCCTCAGCTTCCCGCATGAACTGCGATGCCAAGCGTAATGGGATGAGACGCATGCGAGGACAAGGAGGGGAGCAGAGCTGTCGAGGCTGCACAGTCTGGGTCACATCGCCTGCCCCTTCCACCCAGGGCACCTCGATTCCCTCCCCGCCATGGATGTGATCCCAACACATGGCAGATGAGCCCAAGCCTCTGCTCAGGGCAGCAGGGGCCAGGGAGGATCCCAGAGGCCATCCACCGCCTTTGGGACACAGTGGCAAACCCTCTCACCCTAGGGGACCAGCCCTGGGCTTACTGAAGTAGTAAAGACCCTGCCTTCCCCCATCACTGCACTGAGTGGTCTGAACCCCTGAGCAGAAAAGAGCCTTCGCCCACGGCTAGGCAGCAGGACTCACCCCAACGATGCTGTTCAGCTCCCCCATGGTCACCTGCTTGGCCCGCTCCACAGCCTGCAGGACCTGCTGCTGGTGCTGGGAAGGAAGGGCATGGGGATGTCACACCATGCTCCTGGCCAGAGGCACCACGCAGCTCAGTGTTGCCCCAGCCGCCTGGGGCTGCGCAGCCCTCTCTCCCATCCCTCCAGCCCAGGTACAGAGGTCTTTCCCCCACCCCGAACCTCCCACTGTTTAGGCTGGACTCAGGTTCGCTCCTTCTTGAGGTCCTCAAGAGAAGCCTGAGCAGTCCGGTGCACATGCCCTGCCTCTCCCCTTACCTCTTGCGTCAGAAAGGGTATAATCTGGGCGCAGATGGCACTCAGTCTCTTGACAATCTCTGCCTGAAAGAGGAAGCAGGTATCACCACAGAGAGGCTCTGAGCCTCATCCTGTCCCCTCCAGCGGAGAGGAGGGCAGCCAAGCATCCTGCAGACACAAGCAGCCTCTGCGGAGGAGTTAAACTCTCCCCACCCACACCCGCTCAGCGTAAATCCTCCTGCTGCCTCTGCGTCCCTGCTGGGATTTCCCAAGCTGCTGCCAAGGGACAACTCTGCCCAGGGCTGTGGGACCCTCCCAGGCTGTCAGGTCCCCCCAGGCACATGGGAGGGAACCCGATTCCTAAATCCCTCTATGGATCCAGGCCAAGCCAAGCTCTGAGCTGTCAGCCCTTTCACAGCCCAGCTGGCTTTGCTCAGCCCAAACCCATCTTGGCTTTGTGGGCTGCCGCTCTCACAGCCAGCGGGCAGGCTGGCAGGGAAGGAGGAGAGCTGAGCCGCAAGCGCTGGCAGCGGGCCATCGGCATGCTGCTTGCTCTCTCCCTGAACACTGGACTCAAAGCCAAGGGGAAGGGAAGGGGGACACAAAATTCAGACAAACGAATTCAGTCCTCTCTGCATCGTGCCAGAGAAACCCTGCAAGGGACTGACAGTGGTACCTGCTCTGCTCTCCCTGCCCTGGTAGGAGCAGGGACACCTGCTCCCACCCCTGCCAAAGCCCCAGACCAGCCGGCAGCTCTCTCTGCTCCTTCCAGAGCGGGAGCAGAGGCACAGAGCACCCCTGTACCTGTCCCCTGCCCAGCAAGCAGCAACGAGGAAATGCAGAGGACCTGGCATGTCCTCTCCTCACTCTGTGATTAGAGACAGACCCATAGTCCGGCTGCATCCCCACTGGGTAAGCAGCATTTCCCAAGGGAAGGGACTGTGGCTTCCAGCCTAGCCTCTCCAAAAGAAATCTGTGCCTCCTGGGAAAAACTCGATCCCCCGTACCCGCTGCAAATCCACCCTGGCGCTAGTGGAGGGATTGGCTGCTCTGAAGTGTTTTCTCATCTCAGGTTTCCGACAATCCCTGACAGCATTGCAGAGAGGTCAAACCACGCACAAAGCCGGCAAAGAACAAAGGGAACATTTACCTGCTGTGCTCAAAGGCTGCCTGCGCCCCAGGAGCACACCTGCGCCCACCCGCAGGTCCCGGCTGCTGCATCAGCCACTGCCCTGGTGTCCACGCAGGACCCCGGCAGCCAGAGACCCACCCCTCCTCCGGACCTCTCCTGCCCACACAGAGCCAGGAGCCGGACCTGGCTGGGCCAGGGCTGCCTCTCCTCAACGACTTGGCCATTGCCTCTGTCACCTCACAGGCAGAGTCCCTGGCCCCGTGTGGTTCGGGCTACCCTTGGGTCCCAGTCCCACCCCTGGGTCCCAGTCCCACCAGAGCTTGGAGCATGTGGGGATGGCAGGAACGTGCTCGTGGGCTCTACGACTCTCCCTGCTAACAAAAGGAGCAAACTCGGAGGGGCTGAGCCAGCTGGAGGAATATGGCAGTTGACTTGCCACTTTGTCAGGCATTGGTCCAAACTAATTTCCCTGGCAGAGAGCCCGTGATGACTAGATTGATAAATCTGAAGAGGGAAAGCAAATTAACGCTGGAACAAAAGGGGAACCAGGGAAGGGTGAAAACACTCCTCTGGCTTCGGGAAAGGAAAAGGGGATTAAAAAAAAAAGAAAAGAAAGACAATCCATTTGCCTCTGGGCTCCAGCTCCTGCTGCTTCCTCCACGCTCCCTCCTGCGTCTGGGGCCCCAGGGAACTGCTGCGGGGAGGTACGTGCACAGGGCTCATGGCCAGGCTCTGAGAGGTGCTTTGGGATGGCAGGGAGAGGCCCTGTCTCAGTGCACCTACCAGAACTCAATAGTGCACATCCTGACAACCACTAAAGCCCTTTGCAGGCCAGTCCCTCGCACAGAGCCATGCTATGTCTCCCGTGCCATTACAGCTGCATGGGGACGAGGGAGACATCGGCCTCTTCCCCATCATCCCCTGCTGCTGGCCCGGACCCCACCTCACTTACCTGCTTGTGCATTTCAATGTTCAGTCCGTACGACATCTCATAGTACTGAGAGCAAAATCACAACACAGCCTGGTTAGGAGCTTCCCAGAGCAACTGGCCCATTACCAGCCAGCAGCTTGGCAGTCAGCCCGCCCCTGCTCCCCCCAGCCGAACTCTGCCACTGCTGCTGAGGGTCCCTGCTCCCCCCCAGCCCATGAGAAACAGCTGGCCAGCACACCATGGGCTGAGACCTGTGCCACGAGCCTGGGACAAGGTAGGGAGCAGCCACAGTGTAGACTGTTTAACACCTGTAATGATTACACTGCTATTTCTGCATTAGTTTAAGCCAGCGTAAGCCAGCCCCGTTGCCCCCCACATCCCCTCCTGTCCTGGCCTGTCCCTTCCCACTCCTAACCCAGACCCACTCTCTGATGCAGCTGCCCATCTTAGTCACAAGGGTGGCCATGCCTGCACAAAAGCAAAGGTGACATCAGATTACACCTTTTACTAGTGACTCTGTCCCCTCACTCCTGAGGACAGGGAGAAGGGGGGGACCAGAGGACCTGCCTTCCTCCAGCAAAGCCCATTTCAAAGGTGGCAGCCCACCTCTGGAAATCCCTGAGCCTCCAGGATGTGGGAAGGGATCCCAGCTGGTGGGTGACAGGAACATGCCCTGTGACACTGATAAAGCCTAGTACACCTCTGGCCTCACAGACAGGGCTGTCATCACCCAGGGGAAGGAGGTTGCCCAAGGTTAGGTCTGTTTGCCTTTTGGATGGCATAATTTGGGTTCCCCCTTTCCCTAGGGGGGCTGGTAATGTCAGATGCTGAAGGAGAGGGAATGCGGTTCTGCAGCTCCCACCCTCTTCCCTTCCTTCCAGCAGCTACAACCCCTCCTGCCAGGGCTGCCAGCAGCAGGCCTGCCTCTGGCTGGTGCCCAGGGTGGGTTGGTGTCAGGGCCTATTAACGCCATGCTGGCAACTGTGGAGGGCTCCTGCACTGCTCCTTCTAAAGGCAGCTTCCCCTTCCACCCAAAACACCAGCCTTGGGGTATCACTTCCAAGACACCCCTACCTTGGGAGAAGGACAGGGAGGAGGGGGGAGATCTCTTAGAAGGCCAAACAGAAAAAGGAAAAAAAGAAAATAAAAGAGACAAAACCTATGGCATGATTCCTGGGCTCAAGCAGCATGGAGTGGCAGCAGACATCAGCAGAAGAGCCAGCCATTGCTAGGAATAACAATTAACTCCTTCCTAACTCACACACACCCCCAGCCCCACCACCCAGGCCAGACCCAGGCCAGGCATCCCCCCGGCGGGGGTCACTCAGGGAGGCCGCTGCCCTGTTTGGGTGAGTGCCTGAGTGGAGCCCCAGAGCCCGGGACCTCACCAGAGGGTGGCAGTCAGGGATGCTTTGGGGGAGGCAGGGGGGACAGGGCAGGGGTAGCTCACCATGACATAATGTCTCTGCATCTCTGTCTTCTCACTCACCAGCTTCTCACATTCCAGCTTCAGGCTGCAAAGAGGATCCACGGTTTTCATTCATGGACCCACATCTCCCACCCCATCCCTCCAGTTCCCACTTTCCACCCTGGGACCTCGGCAAGCTTGGCACATCTCCCGCTTCCCCCTGCAGTCTCATGGGGCTGTAGGGGTGTCACACACTGACCCCCTAACTGGTGTTGCCATCCCTCAGGGACCTGAACCCCTGTGGCCATGCTGCCCACACAGCTCCCGCTCCCCAGTGGACAGTCACAGTCTGTTGCACCCACCCAGCTCTCTATTCCCACAGCACTGCTGCCATCCCCTCCACGTCACCCTACACCCAGCTCAGCCGGATGAAACAAACCATGGGCAGTCTTCCCCTTGGGACCCCCACTCAAGACCTGGTGCCCCAATTCACAGCCTCACACTACCCCTCAGCCTAGACCCCTCTCCCATCCTTCCCCAAGTGCTCCTTTCACCAGGACCCCTTTCTCCACCTTCTGCCCCAACTCACCCCCTGGTCTGCGTCCCATCCTCCCCCCGTGCCCGGACTCCCCTCAGTCCCCTTATGCCCCTTCTCTGGACGCTCGCCTCTGCCCGCAGCCCTGCCTGACCCCCAGCCACCTCCTGCCCCCTAAACCTCGTCTCTCCACCTCCTGCCCCCGCCTAAAACGAGGGTCCCCCGCCCGCAGCTCCTTTCCCGACCCTGCAGCCCCGCTTCGCCCACCCCTCACCTGTGGTACTGAGCCTGCAGGAACTGGAATTCCTCCTTGATGCGGTCGCAGATTTCCAGGACCGAGAACTTGAAGGGCTGCCCGGGCTGGAGGGGGGTCTGGGGAGATACGGACCGGCTGGAGGCTGTGGCTCCGCCGCGCTGCCCTCGCCCAGCCCGGCCCGGCGGGCCCCCC